GCTATTAAGAAAGAAGAGTTTAAATGCCGTCTTCACAAAACCTGCATCTCTACCCACATCACACTAAGCCGTTCCAATCTAGTGAACACAGGACCCTTAAATCCTACAATTCTTTTTTCCTGAAGAATTGGCACTAATATATTTAATCCTCCAATAGCGCTGCCAAACCAGTCAGCAATGCCCCTGAAGACACGCTTCACATGATTCGCAGAAATGGTTTCCCATTTTATGTTAAGACGGACAACTGGACAATGGTGGCACACACAAACTGCCAGAGAAAACAAAGGGCATAAATCTGAGCTGCAAGGCCACCAAAAGCTTTTCATTCCAAGAGAAGCCAAATCTGTGTGCCCGGGCAACACAATCCTCAAGGCCAACAAATTCTGCTGCCAGAAGAAAGTGAAGAAAGTAGGAGACAGCTTTGATTGCCGTCTCCTACCAGTGATTTTACCCTCTCATCCCAGACCATAAGTCACTCTAATGCAAAATTAAATGTGTTAAATACTGCATCTGGTTTTCTTTAGGCTAAGCGTTCATGTGATATTATAAAATAGTCCTTAAGTATTTGCCAATGTATCTTCTCCTTTATTCTCTTCCCACACATATATCCAACCCTGTTTTTAAAATCCCTCATCTAGTTCTAAAAACACATGCAATATATTGAGAACACTTATGATGAGGTGATAAAAATGGATGGATTTCTATTGAAATCATCCATTTAGTGTATTTTGGCGTATAATTGTTCTCTGGCCAAAAATCCAGTCAATTACAAAAATACAACTGAGATTTAAATTAGCTAGTTAAAAGAACTAAACTGCCAATTAACTAAATCTAAGTTTTGATTTATGGAAGTGTGAGAAGGCCACATTTTAATTATCAATACTTTACTATTTTGCTCTAGAATCTTAATAGATTCTCCTATGTACTAGTAAAATGCTTCAAGGCTGAAGAGGTTACGCTGTTAAACTTGCCAAGTCTTATCAAGTTTATGCTAGAGACGGATACATACAAAAGTACTTTTAATGAGTTAATACAGTAATTATAACCTAACTGCATAGGTTTGCTACTACAGTGACAGTTAACAGATATAATTTTCCTTGATGCTTTTTTACATGCAGTGTTTTACACTTTGACTTGACTAAAAACTATTTAGCTAAGATTAGATTTAAACAGTATAGAATTCATAATTCAATTGAAGTGTGGTAGCTGTCATGCTAAGGAGCTTAGCTATGCAAAAGTTAACATAAAATGACAACTAACAACTGCAATGCAAACTTTACTCAAAAACAATAAAAATGCTCTTCTGCATATTTCTTCCTCCACACTGCACATGCACACAAATGCTATCCAGTCTTTGTTATAAAGCTTGATATCTGTGAACTAGGATCTAGTATTATTGTGCATTTATGAAGCCATGCACACAGACTTATTATTATTCAAAATTATACAAAGTAGAATGGACAAACATCACCTTCAACTGTTCTAAAAGTACTTTGTTTTGGATGTGAATATGAGAAAACTAACCTTCAAGAAAAAGGATTGAGATATTTTGCCTGAGCAGGCTGTGCGCTACCAAAAATAAGTTTTCAGGTTTTTATAGTATGGGCTTTGGTCACTTTCTTACAGAAAAGTTCAAAACTGAACTAGAGTAATTATACTTTTAAAAAGAAAAAAAAATGAAAAAGCCAGCCTGAATGTCGAAAATATCTTGCTTGACTGCAGCTGTGAAGCATGACATGATGTCTCTTTTCTGAGCAGCTTTCTGAAGACTGTATTAGAGATGCATGGGAGCATCAGTAGCCTACATTCCAGAAACTAAATACAAATGTTACTGCCTACTAAAAATTTAAATGGCAATGCCACTATATTTCAAGATTTATAATTTAATACTTCTTACATTTCATATGGAATTATCTTATAACAATATTATACACCTTTAAAGGGTGCAACCGTGTGCATGTCATATAAATGTTACCATCTGCCCTAGCAGCAGACATCAAAATGTTGCTATTTCAAATGAACAAATACTGGACAAAATCCTACACAGCGACATTATTTCACAGCATGAAATCTCAAACCTTTGCCTTAAGGGATTAGGAGTGAAAAAGGAACTTGGAGGGTACGCTGAGAAAGTCAGTATATCAAGAATGATTTTGAAAGGTTTTCACTGGAAAGTAGGTTTCTCCTTATTTCTATTGCTTTTAAAATTAGTTAGGATTGCACAACAGCCTAATGGGCTGCCAAGAGACAAGCACATCTTTGTGGGTTTGAGAAACATGAAAAACAATGTTCAGAATCCTTCTTTTTCCTTTCTTCCTTTCCTTTCATTTCTGTCTCCTTCCTCTCTCTCCCATCTACACGTAAAGAGGAGCAAAAAGGGAGAATGCAAGAATCCATTTTCAGAAGTGACAGCTTATGCACAACACAGGTAGATCTATGTACTGAATGTCAATATTTTGCCAGGCTACATGTGCAAATGAATAATTTTTGCATTGGAGAGTGTTTCTGCTGATAAGAGCCAATAAGTATGAAAGGGGGGCCATTAAATGACACACTTATTCTGGAAAGCTTACACAGAACTGATATAAGAAAGAAAGGGAATAAGAATATTGGCTCAATTAATCTTGGCCATTGAAGTATGCTGCCTGTGAAAGATATATTTGTGAATTTGTAAGATTTTCTGAAGAAAGCTTTGGAAATATTTACAGGCCAACCCCAATGATTTCACCACCCCATTATTTTATGACTGTTAGTATTTTAATCACCTACAGAAGCCAAACTTTTGGGAAAAATAATTGACTGTTCTAGTTTAAAGCCCGCCCACTTCTGAGAAGCTGTTAGATAGGACATGCATCCTTTGATGCATTACTAAAGAATTCACTGTATTCCAGATTTTCTCCCTCTCTCATGAAAAAAATTTTTTTAAAGCTATTTAAAAAACCCCCAAAATTGCTTAACATACAATTTAAAAATTTCAGGTTGGCTAAACTTCTGTCTGGATTTCTCTTCTTAGATTTTTTTTTTGTTTTGGTCCCAACTACTGCAACTTCTGAGTGCTACTAAGGCAAGGGCAGGTAAAATACAGCCCATAGGCCAGATCCGGCTCATGGGGCTCCTAAAAAAAAAAAAAAGCAAAAAAAAAAAGCAGAAATTAATATTTTTCTGCCCCTGGCTGCCTGTCAAAGATGAGAGGCACTAGCAGCAACAGGACCCAGGGAGAGCCAGCAGCAGTACCCAGCAGCCGCAGCAGCAGCAGCTAGGCCTGCCTGGCCATGGCCCACGCCCAGCCCCCAACCGGAAGCCTCTACCTACCAGGGAGGACCATGGGCAATCACCCCAGTCCTTGGGGCTGGGCTGGCTCCTGCTAAGTCCTGTGGTCTGGTGATACAGCCAGGAACTATATGATGCTGTAACGCGGTGGTGGGCAGGAAAGTGGGGAAATGGCAGCAGCAGGTGGGGGCTAGGGGTCGAGTGGCTGTGAATGCCCTCAGTTAGCTGTTTGCCCCAGTGCTATTCCCTTAAGTTACCTTTGTTTTGCCTTAATTAGGGACCAATAGTATACTGTCTTTCTCAGGTAAGGAAGTTAATATTGCTTTTCTGGATTTCATGGAAATTAAAAACAAAGTATTCATTATTATAACAAGAGAAAACGTTTTCCTGTAGAAAACATGATAGGGGTACTATAAAACTTATTAAGTACAACCATCATAACTGATTCTGTGACTCACATGGCATAGCACTGTAATTTCTACATTGAAATTGCTTCAGCAGATCTCCATGAGGGAGTAATGTGTACTGTTCAATAACTGTTCTGAGCTTAATATGCTTGATAAAGAACCTCTTTAATCAGCTCTGCAGCTCCAACTGCTTCTTATTAACAGATGTGCTTCTACATTGCCCCTTTCCTCCCCCTGATTTCTCATGTATGAGAAACTAAAGGTACAATTCCCCATAGCAAAACAGTCAAAATGATGTTTTCCTAGAATTATAACAGGAAAAAATAGAATGGGGGGAAGCTATCTGTGGTTAATATGTTCATTTATAAGATATACTAGTATTGGTAATGTGACAGAAGTTAAAATCAGCTCATTTTCATAGCTACACCTGAACATATGCAGATACTAGATAATACTGGAAATAAAGACTGTTGTGGGGGGGAGAATTAATTATTAGAGATCCAAAACTAAAAATGGTTCAATCAGTCAAGAAAGCAGCAGCTGATCAGTTTGCCATTTTTAATAAAAGCCATAAATCTTAGTTTATTTGGACAGAACCTCCCTTTCGTGTCCCCTCATCCCCCTCCCTATTCCCCCACACTTTTCCCTGTAGTATTTCATTTAACACAGACTTCAGACAAATCTAGATACCTACATGCATTCATGTTTTCAACATTCCTTTATCACTTTGCTTTGTGGAGATGTCAAGGCTGTGCCTTGTGAAAATTACCTTAGCTCTCACAGAAAAAGAAAGAGGAAAGTAGAGACTCTTTTAAGCTAAAGCCTGTCACATTATAGGAATAATGAGATTTGACCAAGCTGTTAGTTCCCTTTCATCATAACTACTCCTCTCACTGTAACATTTTCACTTACAGATTGAACATTAAAATATTTCCTGTTCTGTTTTTGCTCTATTGATTAAATAAATTCTCAACTTGCGTATAAGTCAGATGTTTCTTTTGAATTTTCAAAAGAATAAAGCACTTTTTAGCAATACTGACTGACATTTTTCCATAAATCAGACTTTGAAGAACAGCAAAGGAAATAAAGTCACATAAGACTGATCAACTGATCCAAACAATCTGACCCACAAAAATAAATTCAATTCACACTTGTACAAATAGTCTTTACTTTTGAGGGCCTTACAGAATAAAGACATAAAAAAGAGGAACAGATGGATTTCAGTCGAATTTAAAACTGCCATGTTTTTTGTAAACAAGAGGTAATTCAACAATGTTACTCAAGCATATTTTGCAAATATAATAAAACCTGTACAATAATTACCTCTACTATGTTTCTAGCTGTTCATCATGCCATGTAGTTCTTCCATTTGTTCTTCAAAATGTTTCAGGCAGATGGAAGAATCTGAGGGAGGATAGATGCACATTAAAATACTAAGAATGATAAAAAATTTGCAAGGTAAATTAACCAGAAAATTAAGGTTATTAACTGGTAACTTTAATTCAAGATGGATGGTACACATTCACACAAGGAATTTTCATCAGTGAAATTTCATTTAATAGCTGTGGCACTTAGAACACTTAATACTGCAGTTCTCAACCTTTTCATACTTGAGGCGCCCTTCAGAAAATGCCAGCTCTTAATTTTTACTTGGTTTTTGACTATAGAAAAATAATAGAGCAATTTTTCTGTTGCAAAGAACTCAGAAAGACCACAATAGGTCAGAACGCTTTTAACACTATGGATTCCTATTTGAAATCTCTGGGTTTATCTTGTGAATCATATTTGTAAACCTAACAGTGCTAACGTTGTGTATCACCCTTTAAAGGATCTCAAGGCACAAGGTACTCTGGCTGAGAACCACTGACTTAACATATACCCTCCTGCTTCTTCCCTCACCATTCTTCAATATGCTGAAGAAGAGGCTATAAGGATATGTGGTGCTCTAGTAACCTCATTTCCCTCCACTACCTCCTTATGTCATAGATTGTAGAGTCGGAATGGACCACAATGGATCATTGTGCCTAACCCCCTGCCCCTGGCAGGAAAGAGGACCGAGATCAGACGACCCCAGCCATAAATCCTCCTCTTGAAGACCTCCAAGTTAAGTGATAGTACTACCTCTCTTGGAAGCCCATTCCTGATTCTGGCCACCCTTACTGTAAAAAATTTCTAATGTCTAACCTAAATCTACTTTCCACTAGTTTGCACCCATTATTCCTAGTTACTCCCTGGGGCGCTCTGATAAATAGTGCATCACCAATTCCCTGTTGTCCTCCCTTGATAAACTTATAAGCAGCTACAAGGTCTCCCCTCAGCCGTCTCTTGTGAAGGCTGAAGAGGTCCAGATCTCTCAACCTCCCCTCGTACGGTCTTTCACGGAGGCCACTAATCATGTGAGTGGCCCTCCTCTGAACCCTCTCCAGATTCTCCGTGTCCCTCCTGAAGTGCAGCACCCAAAACTGGACACAGTACTCCAACTGCGGCCTGACCAGTGCCGCATAGAGGGGGAGCATCACCTCCCTTGATCTGTTGGTCATGTATCTGGTAATACACGACAAGGTGCGGTTGGCTTTGTTGATGGCCTCGTTGCACTGCCGCCTCATGTTCATCTTGGAGTCAACTATGACTCCAAGATCTCTCTCAGCCTCTGAGCTGCTGAGGACATCCCCCAACCTATAGGTGTGCTGGGGATTCCTCCTTCCTAGATGGAGTACTGTGGCAGTGCACTGTGTGTGCCTGCCACTTGCAACCAGTGGGTTGCGTACGGGGGGTATAGACCCCGGCCCCAGTGAGGGGGCGGCCCCAAGAGAGGGGGCAGTGGAGAGATGCCCCAAGAGAGGGGGCAGTGTGATCAGGCCCCAGAGAGGGGGCGGTGATCAGGCCCAGAGAGGGGGCGGTGATGAGGTGCAACCAGTGGGTTGTGTGTGGGGTGCAAGGACCCCGGCCCCAGGAAGGGGGCGGTGATGAGGCCCCAGAGAGGGGGCAGTGGTGAGAACCCCCCAGTGAGGATGCGATGAGCCCGCGGAGAGTGATGGAGGCGTGGCGCTGCGGTTGTCCTGGTGGAGAGGGGATAGCAGCGCGGTGAAGCCCGAGGGGATAGAGTGAGGGGCTAGAGACCCAGCCCAAAGGAGAGAGTACCCTCGACTGGCCCAAGCTGGGGCCAGGACTACGGTAGTCAAAAGGGCCGGGGGCCCACCACGAGGGACGCCCAAGAGCCGGGGGCCTGGGGTCCCGACTGGCCTTGAGGTGGCCCAGGGCTAGGTGCCGAAGGTCCCGGTGGGACCACACCCGAGAGGGGAAGAAGGCTTTGGGGGGGGCAGTGACGTAGAGCCCCAAGCGACGTAGAACCCCAGTGTGAGTGGGCAGAGCCCCAGTGTGAGGGGGCAGTGACGAGGAGCCCCAGTGCGGGTGCGGAGCCCCAGTGTGAGGGGGCAGCGATGAGGAACCCCAGTATGAGCAGGCAGTGATGATTAAAGCGGGGAGGTGTGTGGCAGAGCACAGGGTGTGTCTGCCCCCTTTAGGGCCGGAGGGCTGCTGAGAATGACCTGGAGGTAAGGAGGCTCCTGATCCTGGGCATGACCTGAAACTGCACCCTGCTGGGAGTGGGTGGTCTGGTGGGGCTCTCAGTGGTGCGGGAGCCCCCAAGAAATGCCAGGCCAGTTATCACCCTGGTGAAAGGTGGGTCGGGGTGCTTTAATCCCTAGCTCCCACCACCACTGGGTGGGTTACCCTTGTGTTTGTTGGGGGGCCCAGAGGGCCAGTGTTGTAAGGGGCCCAGAGAGGGCGGACCCTGAGAGTGTGATGGAGTACAGGGCGTGGTGCTGCGGTTGCCCCTAGGAGAAAGGGAGTAGTGGCATGGTGAGGCCCGAGGATGCGAGTGAGGGGCTAGAGAGACCCAGCCCGAAGAGAGAGCACCCTCGACTGGGCCAGGACTAGAAGAGTCAAAAGGGCCAGGGGCCCACCGCGAGGGACGCCCAAGAGCCGGGGGCCTGGGGTCCCGACTGGCCTTGAGGTGGGCCACGGCAAGAGGCTGAAGTTTCCGGGGGAACCACACCCGAGGGGGGAAACTGGCTTCGGGGGGGCGAGGTAGCCTGGATGAAGGTGGAGAGGCTGCCTGAGTGGAGAGGATCATAGAGAGGGGTCCTATATGGGGCCCAGATTCTGGGGCCCAGTGTGGGGCCGGTGATTATGGGAACACCGAGATGCCATCTGCGAGGCTTTGGCTGCGGTATTAGGGGAGGTTGGAGCTGCAGAGCGCCCCCTGGCATTGGGGCACTAAATGGGCAGCCTCCTGCTTAATTGACATCTTAATGAATCAATTATCATCAAAGGCATGGCGGACAAGATAAGCGGGCGGTTGCCCAAGGACAGGTGGGCGGGCCACGGAGGTCGGCCCTGAGTGGCCCCCTGTCACGGTGACAGGTGGGCGGGCCACGGAGGTCGGCCCTGAGTGGCCCCCTGTCACAAGTACCTTACATTTATCTTTGTTGAATCACATCCCATTTCGTTCTGCACATTGATTCAACCTGTCTAAGTCGGCCTGTATCTGCTCCCTGCCTTCTGGTGTGTTAATTTTGCCCCATAACTTGGTATCATCTGCAGACTTGGAGAGGGTGTCCTGCCCTGTATGCTAATTAGGAGCCCCAAGACGGCATATACAGAACCTCTCTCAAAGACCTCTGGTTATATAAGCAAGTAATCTATATTCCTTTGCATTTCTTGATGTATTCCAATTCCTTGAATAATTTGGCCAGCAGTAATCTGATCAAGAAAGTAAGGATAGCAGCCTAATCGGAAATGGGTTAAATAGCTACTCTGCTAAATGAAGCATCTGATCTGCATACTAGATCCAGAAAGTACTGTTTATTAAATGTGTATAATCCCACTCCATAGTGCCACTGAACATATTCTGGTAAGGGGAATGGGTCCACAGAAGCCTGCACGGTTGGCCCGGAGCGTTATGAACACACAGACACACAGCCAGAACTGGTAAGGCTTTTATTATGTTAGAATAGAGGACTTCAATACTAAGAAATTTGGGACCAGACAAGTATGAAAGATGAAGAAATCTTCCTGAGCTGATTCATAAACTTTATCACCCTTCTTTTTGATGCTGCTTATATAGAAAACAATCTACCCAAGTAAGTCGGTTACAATTAGATCCCTTCTCCATAAATGGACTTTCCTTTTTCAAGAGGATTAACCCAGCACATCAAATATTGGGTGAGAAGCTCAGTAGGGGGAATTTGTAAGATCACTACCATTCTATCCACTAGTTCAAAAAGAACTATATTCTCCAAGGGAGCAGCATTAGTCACAATCTCCACAAAGTTGTCCAATTCAGCATCAGTTTATGACTGTTCAGGTCTCACCAGTTCATCCTTCTCTGACAATTATAGGGGACTGATCTCATTCTTTACATTACAGAGATCTGTCAGGATTTTGATCAGGAACTATTCTTCTTTTAGATGGAAAATTCTTACCCAATTCTTCCAAATCGGAGATAATATGGATTTTTTTGTCACAACTACCAAAACATGCTCACAAGTTGGTTCAGAACCAGGAGGCTTTCACATGCTCTTCAGACTGAGACACCAGAAGACTATAAGCAACAAGGCTCTACTTCTAGATTTTGGATCCAACAGTTTCAAAGCCTCACACGGTTCTGTTGTGTGGTTTTTTGTGTGTGTTTGTTTTTTTTTTTAAGTCCAGAACCAAAGGTGGCAATTTCTGAAGATTTTTCTCTCTCTTTGTCCCCAAAATACATTCATGTAAATGTAAATGTGGAGATTCTCTAATCCTTGCAAAAGGATGGATCCAAACTGTCATCACATCCTGAAGGAGTAGAGCCTGCCATCTCTTCTGTAACTCCATTTGTACTCCATATTTAAAAATAGTTTTTACTAAATCAGACGGATGAAATCATTATGTATACTAGTAAATACAAAGGCTGTTCATTGAGGCCACAGTGCTTAAGATACCTTGCGTGGTAATGAACCTTAACATTAAAAATGATCTTATTTTCTATTCCAGATTATATAAATATGTATACACACCAGAGACTCCTCACAAATGCTGCCTTCTTTCCTTCCCCTTGCTATTGCAACTCTTGCCCTTGTGTGATTAGGGTTTGGGGTAGGGGAAAGGAGAAGTAGGGGAGTTAGCTTTAAAAAAAACCCTTAGAGTTTCTCCCTGCCCCCAGCCTGCAACTTATCCTGCAGGCCACCTCTATATGTTACATGTATTACACAATTCATTTAGACTGACTTGCAAATTAACACACCTTTAAAAAGAACCAACCAACTATAAAGTCAGATCTGTAAAATGTGTAACAACTTAATAGCTGGTTTCTATCCAGCTTTAAATTTGAATGTGCAGAGTTATGCCCCCCTGGCTGTGAG